GCCCAGCGTGCGGCGAGGCCGGCTCCGTCCCTGCCGAAGGGCTCCCTCTCTTCGGCCAAGACCCCGGGACCTCTTGGCCTGTCGCCACCCTGAACTACGGTCCCGACTCCCGGGCCCCGGCACCACGGCCCGCCATTCAGCCCGCGCGCACGCCTGGCCCTCACCAGGTCGATGTGAGAGAAGCCGGTAAGGACGAGGTTTTTGAGGAGTTCGCAGCCGATGCCGCCCGCGCCCACCACCAGCACCCGGCCGCCGGCCACGGCCTCGGCCAGCTCCCGGGGCAACCCCCGCGACAGAGCCATGGCGGGACGACCACGAGCCGCGACACAGGCGGAGGCGGGAGAACTGAGCCGCGGCCGGAAGCGGGGGGGGGAAGGGCGACCCTGCTTCCGTTCCTGCGCACTGCGGCCGCCAGTCGGCGCCAGGCGCCAGCGGCCAGGATCTGGGCGAGTGGGCCCAGGCGGCTTGGGCTGGGCTTTCAGCAGGCCTCCCACACGTGGGGCTGCACTCCCGCCTAGTCATGTTTTTCATAGCCGCCTGCAGACTGTTGGCAGGCTTAAGTAGGTGAAGGGTCACCATTTAGCCAGGAGGTTTGAAGTGCCAGCCAAGGTTTCCTTACAGGTTAGAAAACAGATGCTCCTATATGTAAAGAGCTCTTACAAATTAAGAAGAAAACAACTATCACCCAAATAAAAAATGTAGGCCAAAGATGCGAGCAGGCCCTGACAAAATTGATAATATGATCAATAAGCGTATTGAAATTTAATTAAAGAAATGTAAAATTGTATTATAGTTATTACCAGCAAAAAAGGAGTGGGATTGGAGGGCTGGGTGAAAAAAGTGAAAAGAATTACAAATTGGCAGTTACAAAATACTCAGGAGATGTAAAACATAGAGAATATAGTAAAAAATATTGTAATAACTATGTATGATGCTAGCTGGGTACTAGACTTATCGGATCACTTCTTAAGATATATAAATGTCTAATCATTATGTTGTACACCTAAAACAAATATAATATACTACGTCACCCGTAATTGAAATTTTTTTTTTAAAAAACGGCAAAAAAAAGTGTAACATTGTGTTGTCAAAGGATAGGAAAACAAGCACTCCCACACACCGCAGGTAAGGATTCTAAAGCAAACCTTCTCTAGAGGGTGTTAAAAGATAAATGGAGACATTAAAAACATTAAGAGTTTATTTGAGCAAAAATCTATTCAAATTAGGCAGCACCCAATCTAGCAGATAAAAAGGAGCTGCAAAGAGCTGGACAAAATGAATAGGCAGAAGGGAGTAGGAACGAGGAAGTTATACTAGGCAGAAAAATGGGTTGATTATTGCAAAGTCACTTTCCTTTACAGGATAACAGGGGTATATCAGGCAGATTATCTAGTTATATACCTAGTTATAGTGCCGAACAGGTGATTCCTGACAGACCGGTTTAAGATTCCACTTCTGGACAAATCAAAATTAAGTCTCAGTTTGGTGATGTGGGGCTTAGTATGAGCAACTCCATTTTGGGCTTTTTTTTTTTTTTAACAAGGATAATTTAAAAATATGACTCATTCATTCTAACTCAAAGAATTTGTCCTATGGCATTTATCACTGATTTAAAAAAATATATTTAGCCATAGGGATGTTCATCACAAGAACAAAAAATGGAAAAAACAAATGGCAAAAAGATTGTATTTTTGATGTATATTTTAAAAGAATACTTTGCAGCAATTAAAAATTATGTCATGGGCAAATATTGATAGGGTAAACGCTCTCATGTTAAATGAAAAAGATACAAAATCATTTGTATGATTAAATTTTGTAAAAAAAAGCAAAAAATATATTTGTTATAATCAAAAGCAAATGGAGACCAGTTTTGGAGGTTCCCTGAGCAGAAAAATCCAGTTTAGTTATTAATTTAGCTTAATCATCAATCACTGTGGAGACACTGCTTTCTCACTGTATAAACTGCTTTGTAGCAATGTACCACTGAGCCTCATTCCAACTTTTGGCTTGAGTGTTCCTGTTTTGCAAACTTTTTGGTGTGTGCAAAATAAAATTTTACCGATGACTACTTCAATAATTCATTGGTTTTACTTTGGCTATTTCTGAACCTTTGACAGTTAAAAAGCAGGAAGAAAAAACCACAGTTAATATTTTTGTGTATGTGTGTGTGGTGGAATTATGGGTAATTATTATTTCCTCTTAAAAATTTTGTGTATTTCCCAGACGCTCATGCTCTTAAAGAAAATGTTAATTTTAAAATCAGAAAATTATTATCCAGCCACTGAAAAGAAAGGATAATTACATAATATGATAGAGGTGCTAAATATCGCTGCAGTGGCAATATTACAATATATCGATGTACGAAATCAACACATTGCACACCTTAAATTTACACAATGTTTTGTGACAAATATACTCAATTAAAAATTATTAGAAAAAAAGTAAATATAAAAATTGACAAAAATGCTTTTGACTTCTGTGGTCTTTCTCATCAGCTGCTTGGTTCAACAACCACATACCAAGCTGGTCTGTGAAGAATACTTAGGTTGCTGCCCTGATGCATGAGGTGCAAGAAGTGTCAGAGTGCCCGACCACGGAGGGCCTCTCCCATGTATGCAGGAGGTATACATGTTATTAAACTTCTGTTAAATCCTGTTAATATTTAATTACGGGGGGGTGGGTCTCAGCAAAGAACCTAGAAGGATAAAAGGGAAAATTATTTTTCCTCCCCTACAAAACCCAGCATGCCTAAGGCCTCACCGACCAACATCTTCAGTTTGTACACGGCCGGCCACTTTCCCCTCAGGTGCCCCAGCGGGCAGGATCAGGTGGGGTTCTCACCAGACACACACTGCCCAGGAAACCTCCACCTCATGATAATCTGGGCCTAAGGTGTTATTTAGCAGAGTAGCAAATCCAATTGTTTATACCCAGTTTCGTCATCTATGTAGGCAAAGAGGTCTGTATACAACTAGTGGGTGAGAATGTTTTCATACTGTTGTCAAAGGGTACCAGAATGGAAGGGGTTAATAACAAAAACAATGGAGAGAAGGAAAATTGGAAAAGTGGATGGCTAGATGGAGCGACAATGTCAAGAACTGAGTATGGGCCCCCTTCCTGTGGTGCTGCAGGGGAGGAAGGCAGCGTCGAAGAAATGTCCAAACCTGTAGAGAATTTTTGAGTTTGAGCCAAACTGATACTTCCTGGGAAGCAAAACCTCAATGGACTGAGAAAATGCTCCAGAGAATGGCAGTTTTGCAGCTATTTTATACATCAGAATAAAAGGAAGAGATGTAAAGAGGGTTACATGAAACCCATCGGTGGTAGATTAAGGGGACAAGAGAAAGTAAAGCAGTGGGGGTGAAATCTTTGGAATTGGATAAAAAGGCAAAATAGAGAAACTTACTTCTTTTACACTGGTGGGTACAGGATAGTTAATAATTAACATTTCCAGCACTTAGAGATGGTATGTGGGGAACAAGATAACAATGAGGGGTTCTGTGGTCTATGCTCTGGTGTCTGAGGCTGTGTCTTGAGGGGTCTGGAAAAGATTACTCTGACGTATCAAAGGTACGTTCTCTTAGATGCAAAAAGAGAACAGACAGGCTTGCTTAAGGTAAACACTGAACTTTGTCAAGGAAGCTACAGGCCTAGGACATGACTCTCACCATGACCTGCTTTTAGTTGAGTTTTCACGTTCATACTGTCCTATGTGGTTACTTTCAGTCTCTGAGTTTTTAAGGCCCACCACACAAGCCTCCCCTGGGCTTGTCAGGTTTAGTATCTGGCCCCTTTTCTGTCCACAGTCTATAGCAGAAATGGATGAGGGCAGGGAGCTTGGGGAGGCG